TTTGGTTTTTGTGATAGTGATTGGGCCGAATTTGTTGATGATATGAGAAGTACTTCCGGTTATGCATTCTCTCTTGGTTCGGGTGTATTTTCATGGGCATCTAAAAACCAAGAAACGGTTGCGCAATCTTCTGCCGAGGCTGAGTATATTTCAGCATCAATGGTAGCGTCACAAGCAATATGGCTAAGGAGAATTTTTGAAGATGTTAGTGAGAAGCAAAGAGAAGCTACTCCAATTTTATGTGACAACAAATCCGCAATTGCTATGACAAAGAATCCTATTTTCCATAGTCGCACAAGACACATTGCAATCAACCATCACTTCATTAGAGAAGCCGTGGAGAATGAAGAGATTCAACTCAAGTATTGTAAGACAGAAGACCAAGTTGCGGACATTTTTACCAAAGCACTTCCAAAAAATAAGTTTGAATACATTAGAGAATTGTTGGGTGTCACAACATGGCATTAAGGGGGGTGTGTTAAAAATAATTAATGCCATGTTCATTCATGTATATGTTCATTCATGCATCTATTATTGTACATGTATCAAGTGGATACATGTATCAAGAGTGTACATGTATCAAGTGTGTGCATGTATCATGTGTGTGGTTGAGATTGTCTTGAAAAGTTCAAAGGTCTATGGGAGAATAGTATATATAGGGTAAGGTATTTGTTGTTTAGATATGAACACAAACAAAGAGTTCAATACAATACAGAAAAATATTTGTTTATTCATTCTTCTCCTCTCTTCACTTAGAAATTATTTAGTTGGTTGAAATTATAGCTAACATCTCCAACTACTGTTTCACTGACATAAACAAGTTGGTTTACAAAACTGTGGATGATGGGTGGAAAGTATACAAAAAGGAGATTGAAAAGAGGGAATTAAGAAAGGCTTTTTGAATTAGTTGTTGGGTGGTTTTGGATTAACTGAAAAAAAAAAAAAAAAAAATTAATGAACAAGAATTGATTTTTATCATCTCAATGCCAAAGTTGGTGAAATGAGTATTGGGGTTGGGATTGAGGTTTGTTTGGCTGGGTAGAATATCCTCATGATGTAATTCCTGAATGAAAAAACAATATGTGAGGATTTGAATTGGGAAAACAGGAAGCAAATAAAAGTATTCGAGGACGGTGGAACCCAAACACGATTAATTAATTGATTAAACAAAAAGTTATTGTCTGAAATAGCCTACTTGGTTTTTTTACGAAGTTGGAGGAAAAGAAGATATTCATGGAACCAAAATGATATTCAAGAATAATTCTGAATACTCTAGTAGAAAAACCTACTCAATAAGGTAAAGTTGATTACGCAATGGTGGAGAAATTGGAGAACCTCAGGGATCAATCAATTTAAACAGAGAAATAACCTAAAATACAAGCTACAAACTCCCACTTTTGCAGCATCAGATATAAAGTACAATGAATAAGTTACTCTTCCACTAATTGCATATTTTTCACAAACTGTACGAGGTTAGACTGACTTGTTGTTTATGACTCTATCAAAACTGACCACTGAACCAAACCATATTGCCTAAGAAATATTCAAGACGATTTACAGAATGACAAAGTAAATAATATTTCACAAACTAGCCTAAGTTAGCTTCCATCTCCATTTAAACGGTCACATCTTTTGAATTCCTAATGTGATTCATTTTTCATGCATCTTGTTAATTTGCATTGAACAATCACTTTATCAACCCTTATCAAGTTTCTCCTCTGCGTATAACTTTAAAGTATCATAAGTACCATTTTGCATGGTTGGCCTCTTGGGACGTGTTCCCCGTTTGAATGCTTTCTAATATATTTTACTTATAAAAAAAATAAAAAAATAAAAGGTATCATTTTCCATGGTTGCTTTTCAATTTTCTTGCACAACCACCATATATTTCATTTTCTAAATTCTTTGAATAAAAATACTAAAATTATCTCTTGCTAACATCAACTCTAGGCAGAAGGTAAATTCCCATTTCCAGCAAGACTCTGGCTTTCTTGCTCCAGAGGAGAGTGAAATAAAAGACCAATTAGAAAAATGAAAGGGAATCGCCAGCATTAGCCAATCATAGGAGTGCCATAACTAACCAGTGCATTTCAGTATCACAAGGCTGCTTAGAGTGTTAGACATTACTAAGGTTGCTCGCAGATGCCAAGGAATGGTTTGAATAGCAAAATACATGTGCATTTCAGTGTCACAAAAGAAAAGGCGTGTTTGCCTACTGCCAACAAACCAAAAAATTACTTCTTGTCATTGTGTGGAACAGTTATCAGAATGTAAATGGGTGTTTTTCTCAGTCAATGACCCAAAACAATACCGACGATAAAGCTGAAGTTACAACACTGCTTGTCAAGCGAAAACACTTGAAAGTAACCGAGCTAAGTGATTAGTTTGAAACTCAAACCACATGGTGTGAATAATAATAAGAACTAACATTCACCTTAATATAAAAAAATCATCTGAATAACAAGGCCAAACTTAGAAAGACCACAGCCTCATAAATTATTTATAGCATCCCTAACTTTACTGCGATGTGAATCCTAGCTCACTCCAATACATTTCTAACAAATACAAATGAATCTAAGATATATATTAGCATTGCATCCTTTCAAAAAAAAAAAAAAATACTATTTAACAATAACCAAAAAAGAGATCAATGCCTGATCCACACTACAAAACCCATTAAGCGCCCAAACCCATATAAATAATTCAAATGTTAGCAGGTTGCAACCTCCTTTCAGTTAGAATATAATAAAATGTGGAGACAACTGAACATCAACTCAACAAGCACTATAACTCAAGCACAGAGCAAAAGTAATCTCCACCAGGAGAATGAAAATTATGAAATACAGAGCTTGGAAAACAGATGCAGGAGAGTTTAGAGGAAAAGAGCTGGTCTTAACACAAGAAGCAACCAATAGCGCTTGTGAATCAGCAAACCAGGTTGGTGATTTCACAAATATACTATTAATAAAGAAAACACTAAAATGGACATCAAAACCAAAATACAATCTAGAGCCCACACACAACCAGAATAACACATGAGAAGGCAGGAACAGGTTACACTGACACCATTGAGGTTAGCCTCAATTACACATGCCAGTTGATTTTACAAAAAAAATATATATATATACACTAACCCCTTAATGAAGGTAAAATGCACAAGTTAAACCCCATAATAATAACCCCCCCCCCCCCTCTTTTTCTCTTCCCCATCTCTCTATATTCTCTCCTCTTCCTCTCCTTCCTCCATAACCACCAGCTCCATGACTCTACCACCTTTCTCTCTCTTCTCTCACACTTTTCTACTCTTTAGGCTACAGCCTCTATTCCTTCACCATCACCACTTCTCCTCTCTTCTCTCCTACATCTTCCTTTACTTGATCAATTTCCATGTCGCTTTCCACTAACTCCACCAAGTCTGGCTCTTACCACCCCTACTTTCACCTACCACATGTCTATATATATACAAACACGCGTATGCGTGCATGCACACACATGCACTCACACACAAACAGAAACACATAGATTTGTATGTACACACACACACACACAAATATGTATAAAACACACATAAATATATATATATATATACAAAAAACAGAAACACGCATGTAGAAATATATGTAAAAATATAAATAGATTCTAGATTAAAATTATTTACTTTTCCCTTCACTTTAAGTAGGACAGTCATCGGCCCATTATCAATTATATTAAGAGTCAAAAGAATAATTAAATGACCCTTTAATCTCCCTTTTAATTCTCTGTTTAAACATATTCAAGTCATAGGAAGCTTGCTCAACATTAGCCTAAAATATATAGACATTCTATTAAGAAAAACTTTGTGCATATATCACTAAAGCACAACATAACCAAAAAAAAAAAAAAAAACTAGGAGAATCCGGGATGAACTTACTGGTGCAAGTGATGGAGAGGTTGCAATCTTGCGCAAATGAACCAAGGAAGAAGGAATTAGGGTAGTAATTAAGAGGATGATTATTAATTTATTAAGCTCTGGTTTGTGGTCCATTCTTCTAAGCTATTTTTGAATGGTATCTCACCAAGACTCTGTGGGTATTATTTCGATTATAATTGAATTGGTCTTTACAAAAATCTTTTAAGGACTGTTTGGCAGCTTAGTGAGTCGGTAGTCCTTTTTGTAGGTCCTAGAACTAGTCAAGATTCCCCTCATGTGTAAGTTCAGACATATGTCAACCTTTACTGTGGATGAACTCAACATGTACAGAATAACACATGCTGATGACAGTTAGGATTTTGCCAATGTCATACACCGTCTTTTGGATTGCCAAAATATCCAGAGAAAATTCTTGGATTTTAGTAAATTCTTGGATTTCATTTCTTTTCCTGTATTATCAGAAATCAAATAAGTTTCAAAGGTAGGGTGATATAGTAGTCAGAGAGAGAAGCTTCTATTAAATGCAAATAAGGTTTGAATTACATATGAGTGCACACATCTCTTTCACATATATTCTAGCTTTTACTCATACTCTTAATTAGCCAATATCATTAATAATGGTTATGGAAGTAGTGTTACTTTTAGCTGCTATTACATAGATAAGGCACTTTCAGTCATACTGATATTGTAGTCTTCTAAGTGTAATTGTAAACAGGGGTGATACTTACAAACTCAAATCTAAAAATTGTCAAAATGAAAGTCTTGCGCAGAATCATGAACCTGCCAAAGCAGATTACCATTATGCATGCCAAAAAGAAACTACAAGTTATCAGTCAAGATCTTCTCAGATTTCTCCACGAATTTCTCTCCTACCTTTTCACTATTTTTCAATTTAAAAGAACCCTAGTATATAGATTAAACTTTAAATGATTCTATGATTTTGTATGACTCTAATGATGAAAAGACATCAGAGTTCACAATTAACAACTGAGATTAATATGTACTAGTATGACTGTAATGATGATAAAAAGAATCCATGTACAAAATAATTTCATGCCCTAACTATATGAATGAATTTGAAAAAAATTACTTGCAAAGAATTGCCTCCAGAATTCAGCATCTGAATGATGACCATCAATGCCGCCAGGATTTTTCTTCCAGAAGGCAGCATCGGCCAGAAAAGCTCTGATGGTGCTGGACAATTCTTTTACCTTTGCGTCAAAAGACAACTTCCCTCTGTGATTCAAGGGATACCTCACTTAGGGATCTCAAAACTTCCTTTAGCTCCTCAACTCTGCCAGAGAGTTCAGCTTTTTCTTCGCCTGTCAACGGATCATTGAGCCACACCATAAATGCCTCTCCATTTCACAGAACTCCCTCATTAACCCAGAACGATTCATGTTATGTGCCATATTTGCCTCCGTACAGATGTTATTACGGAGAATAATCAATAGTGTAAACCAATCAAAGATATAGAGGGAGTCTTCATGAAAAACTGCACCAATAACATCTCGGTGCTGACAGGGAATGGCAGCAACCAGAGCCCAAATCCCAAAGAATAGAATATATCCCAATGTAAAAACAGCACGGGCATATTCCTGTGTCGTGATTTTGTTCGATAGTTGGGATTACAAAGTTCTCCCCCAAGAAGAATAGCTCTTGGGCCACTGAGAACTGCTTTCCAATGCGCGAACAGGTATCCTCCTCATGCTTCATACTATGATTATATTCCTCCACTGAGGCTCTTGCGCTCATAACGGTTTCAAAATCATTCACATCTAATACCGAACAAACCATCTCCAGTTTCACTTTTGCATGCCTCAGAAAAGTCAGTCCATCCAATATTGAGTTCAACAGCATTGCATATTTGCTGCATCTCAGGTTATGCAGCCAAATTAGACGCTGAATGTCATTTTGCTGCAGATAAAGTCTATTAGTAGACACAACCCTACTGAATTTTCTCTGTATATTCAGCAACATATCAATCAGAGTTCGGACCCAAGTTACAGAGAGAAAATCTTCCCTAGAGTTTAATTCCTGGAAGAATATAGTAACATCCCCCTGGAAGGATACAAACCCTTCATCTAGGACCTCCCCTTCATCTAGGAGCTCCCCTTCATCTAGGAGCTCCAAATTTGCCATCTGTTATTGGGTCAAACCCACACAAAAACAACAAATTCAAACCACATAAACATTAATTGGAAATCTCATAACATAAACAACTAACAACCCACAAAAATATATATACATGTTGAATTCAAAGAAATCGCAAATCAAATGAGCTCTGAGTTTGCCACACAAAAAACCCAATTCAAATTACACACACATTAATAGTGGAAATCTCAGAATATAAACAATAGTAAAAACCCACCAAAAAAAAAAAAAAATGTAGAACAATATTCGAAGTATTGTTGAAATAAATCACAAGTCAGATGACTATTGAAAACCAAGAAATGAGTTGAAAGCAAAAGTTAAATACGACAATAGAAAACAAACCATCATATAAAACCAAAATCTCTCTTAAAGCCCCTTCCATTAGGTCTAGCAACATACATTCAATTGTGAATTAAAATATATATATACAAAAAATACGAAGAAAATAAGTGAAACCCTATTGAAAAAAAAAAAGATTCTGTAGAACAAATGTAATACATACCCAAGGAATTCGAAAGCTTAGATCCGACCGTGTTCAAAAACCGCCCAAGAAATCTGAAATGGGAGTAAACGGGGAAGATAGAGAGAGAGAGTTTAGAGAGAGACGGACAGAGTTTAGAGAGAGACAGAAGTTTGAAACCTAACACGGGAGGGAAGCTTATTATTTATTTAAGCTTGAGTTTCAAATTCAAATTGGCAATTTAATGAATAATGCTTTCATACAACAGGTTCAAAGTAGGCTTATTTGATCCTAATGTTATACAAAATAATGTCTAATTAATCCGATTTGATAATTTAATGGATTATTTGCGAATGAATTCACATGCAAAATGTTGTTAAATGGATATTTTATCCGGTTATCCCGATATTATTAGTAATTTATATTAGTTCATATTTTTTTTAATAAGTATTTAGTTCATTTAGGTATTATGTTATTTCTTAATGGATTATTGAAACATATATATATATATATATATATATTTTGGGTTTTACGGGCTGGTTGATCAAAAGTCAAATTTTTTTTTTTTAATTTTTAAATTTGATTTTTTTGGTCTTTTCCCCCTTCTCTCCAATTGAATGTCTTAATGGATCATTGATTGAATGTCTGTAATGACTCGGTCATTTTACTTCCTTCTTTTTTTCTGAAATTTTATGAATAAATATTTTTCGTTAAATTTTCTTTTCTGAGTTCGGTTACTCATCACTTAGTGTCGTCTCGAGTGCTCGGAAATGGTTTCTGAGACTATTTCCTTTGGATTGACAATTTTCTTGAAGGATTGAGTCATTTCTACATTTTTCATTTTTTTGGATATTCACTTTTCGTCTTTTTCTCGAGATTGATTTTCTTCACGTAACCTCACTTTTTGTGCTCGGATTTGGTTCCGATTTTTGCATGCATCCGTTATATTTAAATTACATGTTTTGTATATTTTTATCTTTCTAGAAAAGTATGCTAGTTATTTATTTTTACGTAAAAGGGCATGGATGCATTGTTTTTTCGAAAACATTATTTGTTTTTGGAGTTTTTTTGTAATTATAGAAAGTAAATATTTTATTTCTTAGGGCCATTTTTATAATTTATTTAGGTAAATATTTTCAAAAAGGACTTTTTTGCAATTACCGAAAAGTGTGACAAGTGTCGCATTCCCATTGGTCCACTTGTAAGCATCTCATTGATTCACACTTAGAAGCCTTGGATGTTGACATGTGGAAGGTGGAGATTCACCCACTTGTTAGCCTAGCATTGGTGTACTTATTGGCTTGGATTGTTGATAAGTGTAGGTTTTAGATTAAGCCTAGAATGAATCATTGGATTAATGACAAGTGTAAGTTTCTAATTAAACTCTAGATTTTGTGTGTGTGAGGGGATGGTGCAAGACTAGGTGTGTTTGACTTCCATTGACCAAATGAGTGGAGGAATACACTTAAGTGTTTTAATTATTTCATTTTACACATTAAACTTCTTCTTCCTCACTTAAAACCTTCTTCCTCACTTAAAACCCTAGCCACCATTGAAAAAAACCATTAACCTAGGCTTAAAACCTTGGTTTTGACCTTCTTCCACTCATCTTAGACTCAAAAGTTTGGAACACAAAATACTTGCCTCACCTTCCTTCATATATAACCCTTGAAGGAAATTCAAAAATTCCTTTGTTTGTTTTGGATTCAAGAGGAACAATCCTCTTGTGAGATAGGGGGTGATTTAGGTTTTTAATCTAAGTGTTTTAATTGTTTTTATAGCTTACAATAAATTGTTTACATGTCTTATACTTAATTTTTAAATTAATAGGTTGTAGTACTTTGCATGAAATTAAGCTAGGACATAATATTCTTGAAGGCCGTGACTTGATCTATAACTTGTATTAGTTTAAAGTCATTTAGAGTTGTTTTAGAATTTAGAGATTTAATTATTTAAAATTAATTAATTTCTATTTAATTGTTCCACTTAATTAATTAAGTTTTTGAGTTGATATATGTGATTACCATGATAGTACCATTGGTATATAATTATTTGGAGTCATTTGAAATTGATTTAAATTCTTGAGAAACTAATTAGTTAGTTTAATTAATTTCTATTCAAGTGTTACATTCATTTAAATTGACATTTGACTTGATATATGTAATGAGTATGTGTAAATGCAAGAAAATTTCTCTCTCTATTTGGACAAATTTCAGTACACTTTACAATCATCCTCCCTTCATCTCTATCACAACTGCCTATTTATAGGCCTTTACAAGTGCTTTTAAAATGATATAAATGACTCCCTAAGTTGGGCCCCTCGGCATCAGGCTTCATTCTTAATGGGCCTAGCTTTTCCCCGGAAGGCTTTGCACTTACGACCCTTTCCGCAAAGTCTTCGTGTGGGCTGAATCCAGTTTCTCGGCCCGATTCTCCTCTCGCGGGTCATACCCGGCCCATGTCACTTCCAGTACTCTCAACTGCCCCCATAATTACTCCTTAATAAATTTGGGAGTAATTATTGATGACTGCTAATCATGATTTGACGGCTCAAGGAGATCTCATGGAAAAATGAACGGTCGGATTTGGAACCAATGCCTTGAAACTTGAAATCCCTTCACTTTCCTGAAGCTTCGGCCTTCGGACCCACTTCGTCTTTATAAGTCTCGAAGATATTCTTTCAATCCTCTTTACCGTCTCTATCCTGCCTTGCTGTTAGTCAAATCCTTGCTCGCCTTTTTCAAATCAAATCAAGTCTTCTCCGGTGAACTCTTGCGAAAGCTTCTTTTCCAGCGATCTTGCAATGCTTTTTGCCGTTTTTACTCACTGAGGTTAGTTTTGTTTTCCTTTCTCCTTCAAAAGACTCCTTTTTCTTCTTTAAAATCTTCATTCGTTTTCGCCATGACTATAGATCTCGATATTCTTCGTATAAGACTTCATGTTCCCGATGATATACAAATTAGGGCATGTCCCAGGATGTAAATATTAGGATTGGTACTGGCCTTCTTCCCGGTAAAGTCTTGTTTTCTAATCTCCAGTTACACCTCATTAGGTTCCCTCTGCACCCCTTCTTTAACTATGTTTTTAACAAATTGAAACTTTCCCCCTCTGCAAGTAAACCCAATTTTTTTTAGGGTTCTGTCCGTTATGTTGCTCCTGAACCGTGATAGAGGTCTAGATCTTGACCTCATAGATATTCTCCTCTGTTACAAGGTTAGCAAAATCCGACTTGATGAACCGTTCTACCACTTCTACCCCGATTGAGAAGAGGTCAATATGTAAAGAAAAACTTAAGTCTGAGAAGGGATGGAGAAAAAATGTAATAGGGGTTAGAGGGGCCTGGTCTTCTCCAGCTGCAGAGGACTTTCCTATCCCGAGCACCTTTGGCGAGTGCTCGGTTTCTTCGTATAAGAAATTCAAAACGCATAAAAATGACTGTTCTTGCGAAATTTGTGTCCCTCGCTTCTGTGCTTTTCTTTGCCATTCCCTAGGCATTCCTTATAATGACTTGGGTTACGGTGTTTGCAGGGATATGATCAACTATCTGAACGAATACGTTTTAAACAACATCCCTTCCTGCACAGATCTCTTTACTTCGGATAACCTCTTTAACATCTCGCTTATTGGTAATAACATGAGCCAACTTCAGATTCCCTCCTTCAGCAGGAGGAAAAATCCTTCGAGGGTTACTGCTACTCCTGCAGCAACCTCCTCTCTGGCCTCAGCATCATCTTCGGCCACTATTTCTGATACCACTCCTTCCACCAACCTGATCGTGGTAGCTGCCAACCCAGTTACTTATGTTCCACCTGCTAATCAGAGCGCAATTCCTTCAGCTAGCACCCATCCTGCTAATACCACTGCTGCTGCTACTCGGGAAAAGGAGAGAGGGAAGAGGCCTCAGCCTGATCCTCCTTCTAGCCTTGATAGCATCCCTCTATCAAGAAGGATTCGTCCATCTGGACCGAATGCACCCATTCCTCCCCCAATCAGACCTCCTACTCCTTCAGGGTCTATCTCAGCCAATGCTTCTGCCTCTACTATAGCACCATGAACCCCTCAGTTTATCCTAACAGATGGGTCTTCCGTAAAGCCGAACGAGACCATGTTCAAGGATGGTCAAACCGCTATGGCGTTTTACAGGAGCATGTGGACTCCCAGAGGCATTGAAGTAGCCAACGGTCTGTTTCAGAAGGAAGTGTTCAGCCGCTTCCCCTTATCTGCCATGGAGGTAACTTCTCCCCCTCAGTCAGCAAATCTTTGCATAGTCTTTTTATATTTGAATTCCTCTGACTGTTTGCTCGGCTTAACCAGTTATCTTGTATATCACTGCAGACCTTATTTGGGATGATGGCTACGCAGAAGCAGGTGGAGTTGTGCAATTCCAAGGTTCGTCTATTCTCTGACAACCTTGGTGCGGCTAACAAGGAGAGCAAGACTTTAGGCACCCAAAATGCCAAGCTGATGGTTCAGCTCAACAAAGTTGAAAATAAGAGAGACGCTTTGAAAAAGGAGACAGACTCTCTTTAGGATGAAAAGGACGCTCTGCAACTTGAGAAGAGTGTCAGGCATACTGAACGAGAATCTCTTAAGGCTGAGAAGGAAGAACTTAAGCGCCTTCTGAGTGATGAGCAATCCGCTCGGATGACCTTCGAGAAAAGAGCTCTGGACGAGCATGATGTTTTGCTCAGCACCATTAGTAAGGTAAATGGTGGTATGCTAGCTCTGCACGCTCGGTTTTCCAGGGTTGGGGCCCTCAGGTATGCTCAGGGGTTTTGAGAGGGTTATACTGATCGTGTTCCAGCTGAAGGTCAGACTGGCTCTACCCCTGATGAGGTTGACAAAGAGCTGGAGATTGATCCTCCGGGTGTTTATGCCGATCCAGACTCCACCCCTGCTGAGGGCATATTTGATAAATACCAAGAGATCGCCTCTTCCAGGATCACTCCTACTCCATCTACTGCTCAACCCCTGGACGTTCTTCCTTTGTCCACCGTGATTCCATCCACCACTGCTGCTGAGGATGAAACTCGGCAAAATGATTCTTCCAATGCTACTGAGGATAGAACTCAGCAGAATGATTCTATCATTTAGCTTGATTCTCCTCCTCGTGAGGACGGAACCGCTAACAGTGATGAGGGGACTGTTCAGCATCATCAAGA